CTATAAGTAGTCAAAACTTGAATATTGATATATATTAGCTTTATTATTATATAAACAATATAATAATAAAATATAACTCTTTCTGCTGATCCTTTATACACAAATTTACATAAACAAAATTATTAAGAAACTACAAAAAATACACAAAGACTACTAAGAAACCAGATTCAAAAACATTAAGAAAAAAGGAAAAAAATAGTAGAAAACACTTATTTTTTTAATAGACTTGAGTACAAAAAATAAAAGCAGCAAGAATATAGAAAAAATTGTATGAAATCATCAGTCTTTTTTTTGCACTTTGCAAATTTTTGAAGAATTGGCATTGATTCTGTAATGCAAATCTGTTTTAATAATATAAGAATCACAATACGTAATAAAAAATAAACAAGAAAGCATGCTAAAAACTACATGACAAATATAAACAAAGGTGATAAATAATCTCAACAAATAACAACAACAACAGTAGCAATAGAAAAAATAACAAATCACATAAAGCAAACTTTAACAGAATATTCTAGAAGAATAATCACTATATTAGAAAAATTTAAAACACAAGTAGAGGCACTTGATGAAAATAAAGATAACTTAATAGATCTAATATTAGCAAAATATGCTGGAAAAACTTATTACAAAAGAAGAAGCTGAGATACAAATAAAAAAACTTTATGAAGAATAATAAAAATATAATTCAGATATATTTAATTATATAAAACTTGTATTTAAAAAAGAAATAATTATAATTACCTCATAGTATTACAAAAAGAAGAAGACCTAGTTAAATATATTATATATAAAAAAATGAACAATATTCTAGCTAACTTAGAAATAACAAATAGGATAAGATAGATAATAGATTCTAGAAAAAACAAATTACTAAAATAAAGTTGATAAGGTTAAAATTAAATTAGGTTAGAGTAAGAGATTTTAAAAACAAAAAAATCAATAAAAGCAGTATGACAAAACAGTCTTAAAAACAATGTTATAACAATTTAAAAAATTTGTCAAAACCTTTGTAGCAAATCAGCACAAGATTAAAGAGGAAATTAAGGAAAGAAAGAAGAAGATACAAGTTCGACAAAGGAAAAAAACAAGCTACTGAAATAAAGTTGAAGTTAGAACTAGACTGAAGCAAAAGACTTCAAAAACAAAGAAAAATTTGATAAAGACAGCATAACAAGATAATATTGAAGATATTAGTACAAAAATTTAAAGAATTCATTAAAGTTGCTACAGCAAACTAGTATAAGAAAGAAGAAAAAACTAAAGAAGAAAAAAGAAGAAAAGAAATCAAAAAACAAAATACTGAAGACCTTATAGAAGCAAAAATTCTAAACCAGATCCAAGCAGAAACAAGTTCAAAAGCTTTATTTACAACTCTGGCAGAATAGATGATAGAAATAATATATTAAGCAACAAAGAAAACTTACAGATCAATGACAAAAATTAAAAAAAGAGAACAAAAAATTTGTTAATGGAATGGATACAATAGTTAAAATCTTGATAGATTAGTAATACAAGTTTGATTCAAGATATATTAGCAGAAAGATTAAAAAAAAGTTAAGAATTAGAAAAAAAAAAGAAGAATATACCATTGGCCACTGCCTACAGTATCCCCCCAAAATAATACCCTCCATGATTAAGACCCGGGTATTATTCACCATCCTTACTGGCTTGTTACTTGAATAAGACCCGGGGGTACAACCATATTGATTTACTACTTTTAATATGATATGTCCCCAAATATAGTACCCGGTTCTTCACACAGTATCCACGAGTACTATTCAATTTTAAAAATGAAGTTCTTGAATAATACTCCAGGTACTATAGGTAGTGGCCAACAGTAGTATTAGAAATAGTAAAAAGAATTTTAATAGAACTGTTTGGAAATCAAAAAATTTTTATTAAAATATAAAAGAAGTTTCTAAACAGAAACTAAGCTAAGAAGAAAAAAAAAAGAAAGATCTTCAAACACATAATAAAAAAGAAGGAAGACCTGAATAGATTAATCAAGATATAAAAATAAAAAAAACTAAAAGCTCAGTTTTGACAAAAAAAAGATGCAAGTGAATTAATCAAGACCTAGAAGCAGAAGATTTAAAAATAATATCAGAAAAGCTAAAAAGAAAGAAGATCTATAGAAAAATGCTTTTAGAGAAGACCTATAGGATAAACTCTTTAGAAAGGAAAAAATATAGAACTATGAAATAAAAGAAGAAGTGTAAAGAGAAGAACAAAAGAAAACTTTTAAGATCTGGATTCTCTATCGATATAGACAAAATAAACTAAAAAAAAAGAAAGAAGCTTAGACACAAACTGAAAAAATTTAACTATAATAAAGTAAAAATCAAAGCTAAATTAGATAATAAAGTGGATTTAAATTATTATTGTAAAGAGAAGAATAAAGTTGAAGTTAATTGTTAGTAGAATGTTGATAAAAATTTCTTAAAATTGAGGCTATTTTATTATAGCTTCACTGACTAGCTTGGTGCAACCCTCTGATATAGACAATGCCTTAACTGATGAAATAGATTGCATCTGAACACCTATAAGGCAGCCAGATAATGTCAGATCTACAGTTTAAATAATTTAAATATATATATAATATATATATATTGATTAAATAAAGATACTAATAAGGCTACCAATAAGAAAATATATATATATATTAATAAAATATTATAAAGATGTGTTTTTTTGTTATTTTAATAGCCTTTATTTTTTTACTTTTGTTTATTTATTGTTATGCATATAAATATATATAATTTTTTTTATTTTTTTTTAATGTTAAGGTGACCACTTGGGGGTCTGGCACATTTATTAACTTCGGTTGCGAATGTCAGGGCAGCTACAGGACCACCCCTGACTTTGTTACATTAACGAGGATACATACTAGCCATATCTATGCCTTTTGAGTATCTAATTAAGTAGTTCCCTATTGCTAAGTACTACACTAGATGCCATATCTATAACCCACTATTACTTGAGTTACCCAATTAAACTCTCTAATCAACTTGGCGCTGTCAGATATTCTCCCCAAAGAGGAACTGCCGCTAAGGCTCCTTAGGACTACTTTATTCTCATGATAAACCTACTAGAGTGGTCCATGTCCCACACATGTATCACCTAGATTTTTCAGTAATTTATACCTAGGCTGAAACCAAATACTTGCGGTATCTCTCTGCTACCATTACCTACTTCCTTGCCTTTGCAAAGTTCGCCTAAACCCCAGCACACACTTTACGGACTAGCACCGACTTTTCTCTACTAACAGTATTCCAAACTCCCAATCCAGATAGCCCAGGGAGGGACTAGTGGGCGTCCCCTTGGTATTCCGATTGAATCCTTTTTCTTCGTTTACACGGAACCACCCCCGTATACTCGCGGCCTGGTTGGTATTAGTGTCTTGCCAAACACCCAGTCCTCGTCCAGTTTACTGCTGATGTCCGATCACTGATGTTCATCCTTTATGTAGTATCGTTAAAGATCTGTGCTACCTCTCTACTCAGGACTTGCCAAGCAGGATTCCGTGTACTTCAGCCCTTGAATTTACACAAACATTTCACTCGGGTTTCGTGTAACTTTTGCGTCACACAATAGTTTCGCGTTCTTCCAGTACAAGCTGTTGTGACTAAGGATACAGATCTGATGATCTATCAGATTACATACAGTCTGCTGTAACACATTCCTTAAATTCGAATTTCGTTACCGGTAGGATTCGAACTCTTGTCCTGTCGCTTGGGGGTGCGACAACTTCACCACTTCACTAAGTCACCACACCCTAAATATACATAATTTCAAAAAATATGCATTTTATTACATCTTTATTTATATCATTTTAATTCTTAAATGCTTTAAGCATATTCATTTTCTCATACAAAGCTTCAAAAATCAATATAAACTATAAAAAGTCTTTTTAATTTTTAAGCTAAGGTATAAAAAATACTATTGCAAGTTACTAATAACTATTTTATTTTTTTTGATCTATTTCTGTAATATATTATATATTTTCTAAAACTTTTTTAATATTATCTATTGAGTTAGGATTAAATCCTAATAGATTCAGTATAAATATTTCAGAAACAACATTATACTTACTGTATTTATGACTTATTAACTAAATAGAAATATGGTCTCACCATTAATATTCAAAAAAAAAAAACTAAATAGAAATATTCAAACATACTTATCATTTAACTTCTGAATTATCTTACTGATTACCAAATTACTTTTAGTATATATTGTAAAACCAAAAGTATACTTTCTATTAGCAGCAAATTATTTCTTTTGAAGGTTTGAATAGATATGAGCTTTTATTCAATGCTTTACTATAATCAGTCTATAAAATAAATCTATTATTTTATGTGATAAGATGGTAAATCATTGAATAAAACCGTTATTACATAATTCTCATTCAATAACTATATAGAATAAAACCGTTATTACGATATAATATTCAATAACAAAGTTTGCTATAACAGAAGCTAATTATGTAATAAAAAGATTCACAAAATAAAAAAGTAAAAAATTTTATATATGGGCTGTGATCTGAGAAAAGGGACCAAATTGACAATTTTTTCAAAAAATTTTTTTGAGCCTAATTCAACATTAGCTCAAGAACATTTTTTACTTAAGAAACAAATTCTGCTATCTTAATAAAATTTTGCAGCATAACTCTTTAAAGTTTGTATTTCCTTATAATTTAATATAAAAATTTCCCGCGAAGCTTTTTTTTATTAATTTGGTCCCTTCTCTCAGAACACAGCCCATATGTTTCTAGGTATCCAGGCAATTGATTTCAACCACAAGATTGTCTGTTATGCTCCATAATAGAAAATTCTATCTACGCAGCCTTACCAGCATTATACAGTTATACTGTAGTTAAGAGTATTAGGTTATGTGTTGCTGTGTCGGTAGATTTTACCTCGTGATCTGTGTGACAAATCGTGTGACTGTTATCTTAAAATGTACGTACGTACGTACAATCAAATATTATTTCTATCATGAAGTTGCCATTAAGTGAGCATGAGCTTACTAGTCTCTTTAATGATTTTCAAAATGCACAAAAAGAACGAATCAAAATCAAGCAGCAAGCAAGCTCCGTACATGCAACAATCATATTCATTATTCATTTTGATTTTTTTTTAAAAAAAGAACTTGGATTTTAAAATAATCTACTACTAAAAGGTTTTCGAGTCCCAAAGTTCTGGTGTGCAGAGTGCCAAACCATTAGAAGAACTCGAAGATGAACATCAAAAGGTGCTAAAGTGGAAAAAAATTATACTATGTTAAAGATCCACTTTTGAATGTTATTTATTCTTCTGCTCATAGATGTATTTGAGCAAAATAAATCTGGCGGAAAAATATCAATTCGCCCGTCAATTATATTATTTGGTCCATAGTCGTGATCGCATTAGACAATCAGGATTTCCTGCGGATCCAGATGTAGAAGGGACTGTTAAAAGGTTTATTCTCTTTTAAATGAAAATCCTTTAAGATGTATTTTTGAGATGAGTTTTATAAGTTGTATATGAGTGCGTTAGTGAAAATATCTTGATTATTTACACTATCTAAGGGTTTCAAATGTGAAACTTAATGATATCGGTATAAATGAAGATGCTTGGGGAAAAAGCATGAAAAAATTGGACTGGGACTTACTGGATACGGCGAGTAGGTATCAGTACTCCTTTTTCATCATTAACTACCAATATGTAATATTTATAATTTAAAAAAGTGTCAGTTCGTGGAATGGCCGACGTATCTATAAGAAATGAGAATGATAATCTTCTTACAATGTGGTATTGGGAACTTAAAAATGGTTTGATTGATGCATGTAAATGTCGACCTCCTTGTAAATTGTCGTCCGCATCAGGTAAATTAATAAGGAATTCTTTTTTGTTCTCATCTGAATATGAAAACTTATACAATGCGTTCTATTCAAATAAAGACAATTTATTTTATGATATTGTCGCATATGATATCACATACACTTCTGAGATAGCACATGACAAAAAAAATACACACAAAGTGCTAAAGTTTAGCACAAGACATCGAGGGCGTTGCTTGCTTGTTTCTATAATAAGGTACATAATTTGATGTTCAATATCGATATCATTAGTGATTTTGCTTGATTGTATTGTTGATATTGACATTCATAATGATATAAGAAAAGGTCCGGATGCTGAACCGGGTTTCAATTATGATATAAAATTTGATCATCCCATTGTTTTATCAACCGCCAAATTTCGTGAGATGATTCAAACAATTACTACTTCAGGTAAAAGCGAAAAACGGGATGTACATTTTATTTCGCCGGAAATGGAGCTGTCACGTTTTATTACGAGCGTATTATGGAATGAGATGGATTGTTTATTTTAATAGGAATAATTGATTTCTAGTTCTTAATCCGTATTTAGTAGTGGAAATACCCGGTCTCTTGTCTAAAAGTAGTAGAGATGTTATTCAACTCCATTAATCGGTTTTTTAGTATAATAAATATACAAGCAGGTTAAGTCGCTTAACATCTCTAAAAAGCAGGTTTGGTTTGATTTATACCAGTCTTTTTCAGTATATGGCCAATAAAATTACAATAAATTTGAAATTTACCCAGCATAAATCAAGAAGTAGATTGCAAAATAGGGTATAGTAATTACTTTAATTCTAATAATTCAAATGTCACAAAAAAAATACAGTTTTGTCTGTTTTTAGTAAGAAAGAAATTACGTTCAAAATTTAAAGTGTTATTCCTTACTCAGGAGCCATTACCTAATTTGAAACCTTCGCTATCTTTAGAAATAAAAATGAATCGAAAATTTGTCTATCCTGCCATTAATGTATTAATAACGACCAATAAAGGAAGACAAACAAAAGTGAAACAAATTAATGAAATTATAATTCATGATAAAATATACACGTACCTTGTATATTATAAAATAATTCTATCGATGATGTAAAAAAAAAGTGATTCGAAATTCCTTTTTTTTCCTAGTCGAACTTGCTTTTCACACTTACCATTATGTAATTAATATTACGCATATCTTCGCCCCCAACTTTCCAACGCTAACAGGAAATTTTATTTTAAACTTCCGTTGAGCCTTTTCCTAATAAAAATAACATCAAAACCCCATTGAATGCCTTTGCCCACTAATTAGTGGTATAACATAGATTATTCTTTTTTTATTATAAAATTAAAATTTTTGATTTCTTGTTGATCAGCATTGAGTAAGCGTTGAAAAATCAAGAATGATCGCACATTTTGTATTTATCAAGTTCTCGATAAAACATCCTTTCTCGGTTATGTAATATATTTATCACGTGAATTCCGTTTATCACTAATGCGTAAACAAGTAATGATTGACGATATGGAGATAGAAACGTAGATTAGTGTCACCTGTTTATGTTACACGAATACCGAATACCGTGGGACGTTGGACTATTTGGTTCTCATAAATACTAGTTTAACCACGATAACTTTAAGTTAAAGGTAGTAATTTTGCTTCGTCGGTGGGTGGGTGTTATCTAATAGTCAAATTCTTCGAACAATTTGTCTCTTAGCAAGTTGTATTCTCATATTCACCCTTATTAACTGCCCAGCGGTGGTATTAAACAAACCCGACGAAATGAACATATTTCCCGATCACATATATGGTGGTATTCCAGTATTCAGACCAAACTGGGACCAATTCAAAGATTTCAGGACCTTTGTATCCGCGGTAAGACATTATGGCTATGAATCAGGTATTATAAAAATAATACCGCCGGAAGAATGGTAAGCTAATCACTTTATTCTCCAAGTTTTATTCTCGCTGTGGCTTTGCCAATGCAGAGATGTTTGAATTCAAGACACTTGTGTTCTTTTTGCATCAAATTTATTATAGGAAAAAAACACTTCCAAAAGACTATTCTCGGCAATTAAACAAAATTTTAATCAAAAATCCATGCCAACAAATGGTTATGCGTGATACTACAGTTGGTTATTACGTCGTCCGAAATATAGAAAGTGATAAGACCTACACCGTTAAAGAATGGGCTGAATTATGCGAATCTTCAAAATATGCTACTCCGCCTCCTAAGATGAAAAGCTCTTCTTCCAAATCGTCTCAACGAAGAAATATCAATAATGGAAAGGTACCTACAAATCATTCGCCTAAGAAGCGTAGCACATCCGATCAATCACCACCCGGAACGCCACCACGTGCGAAGAAACGTGCTCCTGTAATTACTCAGACACCTCCCGAAACACCACCAAAACTTTGTACGTCGGGATCAAACAAGACAATTACCATGATCTCCGACTTGTCACTACCTGAGCAGGCTAGCATAACCGACTCGTTTGTAGATAATGATTTTTCTTTACAAGACTACACTGATGGCAGTGAAGTTGAAGAAGAAGAAGTTGTACTCACTTCCGGTCAAGTGACTACCGAATTTTTGCAGCAAATGCCTCAATTACAAGCTGCTATTTCACATACTCTAGTACCTTTACCTGACCCTACTATGAAACCTATAAAAGAAGAAGAAGAAGAACCGACTATGGATTCTATGGATTTTGAAAAATTTGATTATCTTTCAGTCAACAAACAACCGTATAATGATGATGAATATGTTAAAGAACTCGCTGCTTATTATTGGAAGAATGTGACTTATACCCCGCCCTTTTATGGTGCGGATATGGCAGGTGATTATCAGACTTGAGGATTGTCATTTATTGTATCACGTTTGCATTTTGTAAATTTTTTTTTTCTTGTCAGGTACATTATTTACTGATACGACCAAGTCGTGGAATGTAAATTGCCTCGATAACTTGTTGAATACTATCGATCCAATTCCCGGTGTAAATAATGCATACCTTTATTTTGGAATGTGGAAAGCATGTTTCCCTTGGCATGTTGAGGTGCGCACTATATTCCTAACTGATAAAGATAGACTAAGATAAAAATAACCTTTATCTCATTAAAACATAGGATAAAGATTTATATTCTATTAATTATATTCACTTTGGTGCACCAAAACATTGGTATGCTATATCTCCGAAACGAGCTGACAAATTTGAGCAGCATATGAGAGGTAATACTTGCATAAATTTGTTCTCAACACAGTATGCAACGCTGCATGATAAATGCACTTAAAATTACTTAATCTGTAAAATTATGGAATGTCATCTTTATGAAAACTCCGAGTGGCGCAGTTTATTATTAAAAGAATTGTAATAGATTAATTTTTTAAATGTATAAACGACTAACAAACAATTCATTTCAATTAAATCTGCAAAATAAATATAAAAACCAGGATGGTTTGGATATGCATCTAAGAATTGCTCGGAATTTCTGCGCCACAAAGAGTTTCTTGCTTCACCCTCTGCCCTCGACCGTGCTCCAATTCTTTACAACCACGTTATTCAACGAGAGGGTGAATTTATCATAACCTTCCCTCGTGGATATCATTCAGGATTCAATTTAGGGTTTAATTGTGCTGAAAGTGTTAACTTTGCCTTCGAAGACTGGATTGAAATCGGAATTAGAGCAAAATCATGCGCATGCCGTCCAGATTCTGTCCGGATCGATGTCCGGGCTCTTTTTGGTCATTTGTTGGATCCAGATCTCACAAATACGAGCTCACAATCAATTATTCCATCATCATCATCAACATCATCGTTATCATCATCGTCATCATCACGAAAATTGGTTAAACAAACTGCATCACGGAAAATTGCTTCTATTTCCCCACACTCAAAAAAGACGAAGATTAAATTACCCTCAGATTCTTTTGGTGCAACATCAACCAAAATCGTACTTTCTCCGAAAAAGGGTAGATTGAAATCCCATCAGAGTAAAGCAGGTAAATAAATAATCATGTGATATATGCAGTACAAAAAAAATACTTATTAATATATATAATAATTATAAAAATATAAAAATTACTAAAGTTCACCTTCAACAGGTATGATGTAAACATAAAATGTTCTTAAAATGTGCTTATAATTTGTCTAATATTGACATTTTTTCTTGTAAGTGCTATTTATGCCCAAATAAATATAGCCATGATGAAGAAACATTGGAAGGAGGTGAATTTGAGCTTATAGCCAATGACGATGGCAGTCAATATGCTCATGGGTAACTAATTCTTAATCATACTGCTTTATTATTTCCAATAAGTATCACTGAATTATATCTCAATATTAGTTTATGTGCCATGTTTGTTCCGGAAACATGGATCGCCAGCACAGATGGTTCGATGACTGGTTGTAAAATTATTGAAACAGAACCTATACCTGCATATCGGTTTGAAACGGTATGTTTGCGTGATTTCCATATGTTTACTAAAGTATTTTGTTCGTATGTTACTAAAATAATATTTAACAATTGAAATTTATTCATTCCTTTAGGAATGTCAAGTTTGTCACACCAAGGAAGGTGCATGTGTCCAATGTCAAGAGGCTGGCTGTGCAAAGGTATTTTGATATTATATATATATTCCTCAAGATTTAATTTCATTTGGCTTATTAATATTATTTTAGAGCTTTCATGTATCATGTGGAGATAATGATGGAAATCAATTCAAAGGAATTGACTTAGAAGGCCAAATATATTACGTGATCTATTGTAAAACACATCAAAAAGTATGCAAATAATTTTAATAACGCTGATTGATTTTACAAAATATTAACAAAATTATTTTATTACAGGATCATGCTGCTATTATGGACATTTTAGGTATGGACGATGAAGATGATGTTTCAGATGCTGAAGAATTCAATACCATGGATCTTGACGTAACTAGAGTTTAAAACCGGTTATAGTAAACCGGGTCACCCGTGTCAAAACGGTTCAACCGGGTCAAAATTTTACAACTCGGGTTAAAACGGTTGAATATGTTAACCTCTAAAAATCTGTTACTATTATACAGAAAACATAAAATTTAACACATTATTATTGTATTGTGAATAAACTCCCTTTTTTTTTTTTCTTACTAATTTAAATGTTCAATCCCGCTAATCTGGACTTAAAAAAAGGTACAAACTTTTGGAGGCTACTATACGGACTATCTATTGTTGCAAAAGTTTTGTCAAAATTTTCCTTTGCATAAACCTTCATTATTATTTTCTTTGCTTTGCTAATATGTAATGCACTGTGTTCGACACGTTCGATAGTACTTCGGGAATTCGTTCGTCATGTAACGTGAATGGCGTGATCATCGGTAGAGGGTACGGTGATGCTTAAAATTAATTCGTGATCATCGATAGAGTGTACGGTGATGTTTAAAATTAATTAAAAGTCTACGTACGTACGTACGTACGTACGCGCGTACGTACCGTATAGCGCTGCATATAGTACCAGCCTGACAAAATATCCATATTATTTATCGTTATACGATGATGTGATATAAAATACGTGTGATTTTTAATTTTAAAATCGTGTCACACTGGGTACTATACGTTAAATGTTACACAAATATTCATCACGATAATTAGCCAATCAAATTATGATGTCAAAAGAATAATAGATTCAATAAAATTAGTACGTACGTACCAATTTTTATTAAATTTATTATGCCGAAATAATAACTTAACCAGATCGGCCGAAAAATCATTCGGCTAATTGTTTACAAGTGTTCCAGGAATTATAAAAACAGCTGTAACTCAAAAATCTCTTCCGAAATTTCACGATAACCTTGCACTTTTATGTTCGCTCCATTTAGAAACTTCCCGATAGTAGACATACACAAGTCCATGGGTCATCCATAGATCAGTCAGCGGATGACCCAGGTGGCAATATCTCAACCCGGATTACTCACCAACCCCTGGGTAACCCGGGTTAAAACACTATTTCTAAAAACATGTTCTTTTGTAATTTTTATATTGTTCAGATATATATTTTTTTCTATTCCTAATCCCAGTAATGATCTAGCAAAAATACACCCTGCATCCTCTCCTTCATCTGCCCAAGTTATTCGTGCCAATTAGAAATGCTATATATCGGTTTCAGTTTTTTATTTGCTTTATTTAGTTTGGCTTAATTAATATTTGTATCAGTTATTTACAATTAGAATCAAAAATACACAAACCTTCATGATTAGGCATGATATTAGCAACGTGAGTGCCTGCCAAGTCTTGTATTTTCTTACCTGATTCAATATTATAATCTATTTTTTTATCTGTTGTTTTATAGTATGTGTATTGTTACACCCGAAACTACCTCTTATGAGTTCAGTATAACGGTTTACTATAGCGACGGGTATGTTAGATGATTGATATCAAATGCCGATTTATGCATAAGTAAATATATGGTTTATTGCGGTTAAGCTTTAAGAGGATTAAGGTGATTAGCAGTTACGAAAGAGGCAATGGCTAAATGTATATGAAGATACAAGTAGTCGTATAAACAAGTTTATTATTATACTCAAGTTATTCGTGTATGAAGACACTATAACAGGGTTATGGTTTATTCGAGCGATCCCGTGTATGAAGACACGATTACTCTTTAGGGATTTATTCAATAAAGTATTCGAGTTGTTCGTTTATGAAGACACGATTACTCTTTATTTATTGTTTAAGTTGTTGTTGGAACTTTGAGTTCTGTCTTTTACAAATCTAAGTCTATTTATACTTTTTAAACTTTCGATCTCTGCTACTATTTTTATAAATTACATTTTTGCTCAAACCACTAAATCTATGAAGACCATCAGCGCTATTAGTGCTACTTAGCACTACTTGGGCTATTATCACTATTGCAGCTTCCTTTGCATAAGTGTTATATTGTGGTTATCTTGTCATATGTTATTAATTACAGAGGTTAACATTTCTCCAAATCTCTGGATTTATCTGGCTGCTTCACTCAGGATTCATGTAACTTATTTGTCACACTAATATTCCACAGCCTCCCAGTATGAGCTGGTATGATAAAGATTACAGATCCATTGATCCATTCAGTTGTGCACAGTATACCATAACGCATTCTGTAAAATTCGAATTTCATTGCCAGTGGAATTTGAACTCTTGTCCTGCTGCTTGGAGTGCAACAACTTACTAACTTCACTAAGTCATCACACCCTATAATGATCTTTTTATTATATAGTCAATTATAATTTTTAAAGTATTTTTATAATAAAAATCAGCATGTTATATATATTCTGTAAATTCAAATTTCATCACTGGTGGGATTTGAACTCTTGACCTGCTACTTGGCATATAACAACTTATTAACTACACTAAGTTTTCACACCTGAGATCTTAATTTTCAACATTATCTAATTTTAGTATTAGCTTTCAAAATAAGAGTTTAAGTATTAATAATTATCAAAGTTAAATAACTAACTCTAATTTATCAGTTTTTAGAATCTAATAACTCTTATTAACAAAAAATTTTTAACAAACTCTTCCTAACGATCACTTGTATTAACCCGTTACCAAAAACAAGTTGAAGATTCAAGTTTAAAAATAAAGTTTTTTTAATACAAACTGTTATCAATAAAGTCTTTAAATATAATATACTGAGAAGCAGTTGTTTTTGACAGTTTGCAAAGAAGTCAAGCCTGGTTTTTCTGCTATTTTTTGGGTATACTCCTCTTTGCATTTGGTATTCAAACTGGAGAAGTTTTTGGAAACAGCAAGTAAAAAGAAGACTTAAATTTGTTTGGAGACAGAAAGTTATAAAGAACTCTTAAAATATCACTCTTTGGTTAAAAAACTTGCAAAAACTTGATATATTTTCACTATTCTTTGGTTTCAAAATTTTTGACAAAAAGTAAAAATTTGGCAAACCTTCTTCAAAAGATTGGCATTGTTTATTACTTCTATATCAGGAACTAAATGATAACAAATTGGTATGTATAATGTGGATAATCACAAGATTATATGAAGTTTTTAAAAATTCTTATACTTTTGAATAAAGATATAGATTTAACAGAAAGAACTAAATAAAGTGCATTGAAATATACAACTTTGTCTCTTATATATAATTTTTAGCCTCTGACACAAGTTATAGTGCAGTTTATTTTAGTTTAAGTTTTTGTCAAGACTCTTGCACTTAATAGTAGTTTGGTACTCTGTATAGTTAGAAGTTTTGCTTGTTTAGCAGGTTTTCTTCTTTTTAGTAATAGTTTTTTTTAGGTTTTAGTATAGATTTATTTCTTAGTGTTAGTACCTATTTTCTTTGATATATTAGTTTTTGTTTTATTCTCTTTTTTCATTTTTCATTTTCTTTTTTTTTTCTTTTTTTCTTCCCTATGAGAAAGTTTCATCAGATTGGCAGTATTCTATTATAAAGCAAGAATCTTAACAAGATGGATAACATCTAGTTGAAGAATCTGAGAAAAATAAGTTTAGAGTAAGTTCCAGATTTTTAGAGGAGGCTAATTATTGCCTAGACAGGTTGCATCTAAATATAATATAGTGGTTTAATAGTTTGTTCTGATCACAAGTAAATGCTATAATATCTGTAAAGTAAAACTAGGTGAGTTTATATTCTGGTTAGAACATTATAAAAGTAGATTTTTGTATTTGTTATATAAGGATGAAGTTTTGTTTCTATAATGAAATAAACAGGATTGTCAAAGGAAAAAAAAATAACTTATTAAAAAATTTGAAAATTTTTATATATATATATTTTTTTTGTATTAAAGTGAGGTCTTGCTTGTATTTTTATTAATAATTTTAAGATTAGTAACTACATAAAGACTATATAGAAATACTACTATTTGTACAAGTATAAATAAAATTAAATTAAAAATTATATGCAAGAATAAAAGCTTAGATATATTTATCTGTGACCTAAACCTACTAGAGTAGTTAAAGACTCACCTAGGTTATTATAAATAGAATAAAATTTAATGTAATTCTATATTTAATCCAGTGTATATACCAGATACTGATTTTTCTATGAGCTTGACCTACAGAAGAGCAATTACTTAAATAGAAATGTAATTAGTTTGCTGTTCCACATATACAAGAGTAAGTATAATTTGTATATAGATGATTAATTCTATTAATCATTGATGATGTATCTCTAGATTTGGAGTAAGGTATGTTATCTGTTGCTGTTTTCTCTAGTTAGAGAAATTGGCACAATAAGACTTCCAAAGTTGTTCATGTACTTGCTTATTAATTTTAAGTAATAGTTCAATAATAATATTGGATGCTTGTTTATATGATATATAAAAGTTTTGAACTGTTCAAACTAGAGAATTTGAGACTAGATCTTTAAGAGTAAGTTTTAAATAGTGTGAAGATTGGTGAACTACTATAAGGTTAAATGCCTCATGTTGTTGTATTTAGTAATTTAGATCTGTTTTTTGATCAGGTGTTAAATTTAGTTCAATAGAGTTAAAGTAATAGTTAATCTAAATATTGATTATATACTGAAATAATGTTAGATTAGAGCAGTTGAGCCAGTGTAAAAAAGAGTCTAATGCTCTACAATAAAAGCAGCTGGTGTGCTGAAAGGTAGTAGGATAAAGATAATAATAAAGTAAATAGGTAGGTAGTTCTTGAAGTAGTGTTTTGATTTTAAATGATTTTAGTTGATTAAGCTTGAAGTTTGTGATATTATGAGTAGGTTTATGATTAATTATAGTTAAAGTATAGCCATTTTGATCTCTAGTCAATTCTATGATTGACTTGAGACTATTCTTGGTTACATTATTGAGATAACTACATTGCCAAAATATAGGCTTTACAGATAGTTTTAATAAAAAGTCATGTAGCTTGTTCTACAAAAAATTTCTCTTCTTCCCACTATAAAATATGATATAGATTATAAATATTAATATAGTTAAAATTAAGATATGGGCTAATGATATGATATTTAGCTTAAGAGTCTGCTAAGTTATTAAAAGTGTTATTTGTATGGGCCAGAACTTTATGAAAAGTTACTTGTAGTTGGTAAGATTTCATTATATTGAGAAATGTATGCCATAGTGGTCATTTATTAAATTTAAAAAGCTTATTAGAATTAAAAGTAAGAGATATAAGTTTATAGTATTTAAAAATGATAGATTGTGAATCTGTATAAATATTAATTATAGAATTACAGGGTGTTGTAGTAATAGCTGATAAAAGGGTTTGGGCCCTATAGCTTAGCGGTTAAGCTGCCAAACTCCCACAGACTAGGTCGACGGTTTGAGTCAGGCTGAAGGCAAAATCTTAGGATTTTTAGCTTCTGTAACCCAATAGGAGGCCATAATCGAATGTGAAACCCTGTGGTTAAGTTCAAATGCAAGTACAAAACCGGAAATGAAATTTCTGGAAGGAGGTCAAAT